CAAAAAGTTGATTTAAAAACTTTTGAAAATATGAAAATCAGATCAGAGATATGATTCCTGCCCTGATACCAATTGATGAAGCTATGAATCGAGTATGAAACTAATCAGAGTTTAATGATCAAAGTAAGATTGCGAGATTTGAACACAGATGTAAATATGATCTTGTTTCAGCTCTATTACGCTCTCAAGTTTTACAGAGTACAAATGATAATTTTGTAAAGACTCGTTCCTATGACTCTAGTAAACACTCCTATTTATAGGAGAGTAAAGCGTACAAAAAATGTACTAAGGACTATGCGTTAAGCTTCGAATACAATGCCCTAGTAAAATAGATTACATAAGATACGAAGACTCAGTACATTCGAAGATATGAAACCCTTCGACTAATTACAACACAATTTGCCCTTACAATCTCTTCTGACCAAGGCCCACAACCTGAGATCTAGATCCTAAATACCTTCATAATGGATAAAGTTTCCAACTTTATCCATTAGGATGATCCAAACAACCAAGATCTAGTATTTAAGTCTCAAAGGGACCAAGAATGTATCTTCCTCAACTAAATCCTTTAAGTTCAAGTCTCCAACCTTCATATCTGAATCAATATGATGTTTAAATGGATAAAGTTTCCAACTTCATCCATAATAATGCCTCAAGCTTTCAAGATCTAAACTTTAGTACACCAAAATGGCCTAAATAACCAAAATAACTTGCATGGTTGAAAAGAAGGTAAAAGATCAAAAGATTACTAGTCCATGAGGTCCAAGAAAACATTCTAAACTGATCAAAAAGGTGTTGGAGTCCAGATCTGAAACATACAGTGTTCTTGGGACCTTAGAGAGTAATAAAGTTGCAAAATTTATTCCCAACTCTCACTCAAAATTCATTAAAATCGACCATAACACCAAACACACTTAGATCCAAATATGAAATGCAATGAAGCTTGGAATTTTATAACTTACAAAGGTCTAAAAGGTAGATGAAAGTTGAGATCTTCAATTGCCAAGCTTCAAAGATCAATCTTGTATGAAAAACATTGTTCTAAAACCACCAAACTCTAAAGAAAATGGATGAGAGAGGAGGAGGGATGCTCAAATCTTGAAAATGGAAGCTAGGGTTTCTCCCAAGAGGTGCTACATATGATGAAGGCTAAGAAAATACCCTAAAAGATGAATCCTTACCTTTAAATACCTTGAAAACCCTAAAAGTTTTGTGGGATTTTGGGCTACACAGTTGTCATGTCGTGAGAATTACTTCTCACCTCATAAGAACGAGTTTTCACCCAATTTCACTCTAACTTCAAGCAATCATAACTTTTTTGTTTCAACTCCGTTTTCGGTGATCTTTGTATCCACGGAAAGGTATTCACGAGCCCTATACTTCTATCTAGTTAATTTTGACTTAAAACATGTCGAACTAAAAAATCATAATTCATGAAAGAAGTCTAAAACACGACTTTTCCCATTTTACCGTTTGACTCCAAGACACAAAGCAAGGCTTTAATCACTTATCCAACATTGTCATCATCCAATAAGGTCTAAATCACATTCCCTTGAAGCCCAAGACCTTTACTTAATCCATTCATTGACCACAATCCTGAAAGTAAGAAACTTCTCGAAACAAAATGTTACACTTTGGTTTTCATTTCAAAAACATATCAAGTTGAAGGAGGAATAGAGACCATTTTGCAATTGAGGAGCAATGGTGATTTATTGTTCAACACTTTTTATAAGATGTGATCAAGTCTAGTAGAATTTATTGATTCTTCCTGCATACTTGACATTGTTTTGTGTGTCGAGAGCCTTGAGTTGTTAGATATGCGGATTATTCAGTAGACAAACCAACTATCTACTCTTAGATAAAATGAGAGAAGAAAAATGCAATAATGGATGTATTAGATGATGAGTATGTTTGCATGTGGATATTGAGGGATTTGTGTTTTTAGCTTAATCCCGGATAAAATTACTTAGTCGCTTTGGGCATACATATTATTAATTCATTTTTGTTTGAATTCGTGTTTTAAGTTTTTGGGTTAACTATACATGCAACTCAATGCAATCGTCTGTGTATTTTTAAATTTATTTGATGAAAACTTTTTAATTTGTAAATGTCAAAAAAATAATAGTGTTATCTTAAGAAGCAACCGTGTAGCTTCTGTTATCTTAGGAATATAGGTGTCCATTCCATGAGAAACAACCATATCTTTTTATTGAGTTAATTCTCATGAAGTTATTTATCAAAATTACAGTCCCACCAGAAGCAACGTTCTTACGATGTTACCCTTAATAGGAATGTACATATAATTGTTACCTTTAGACGAGTTTAGGGAGTTCGGAGTGAAAGATTGTATAAAACGAGTTTGATATTGTTTAGACTAAAATAACGGGCTCAAGGTGGCCGCACACCCTTGCGGGGATCCCAAAAATTAATTTGCTTAAGTAAATTATTATGGAAAATATTATTTTCAAAATATATTCTCTATAATTGTCTTTGAAATCGACATCCCTTATTGATTGGATAAAATCAACATTTAATGCTGATTTGCCCTTATTTTTGTTAATCAGAAGAATTCAAAATCTATAAAAATTTCTAGCTTGTGAGATCTTATCAGTGCCTTGATCAAAAGCTATTCATTGAAGGATTATCTCTATATTATGGTTTACAGGATAGCCAAACATATAATCGAAATATCAGATTCAGAAAGTGATCATACAATCTTTCAACAAAAAACCTCTCGATTTCATAAACAACTTTGTTCCTCCCAAACCCTAACACTTTAGTAATAAAAGAATACTAAAAACAATATAAATAATCGGTAAGGGTAAAATAGCTATTTTATAATGGCTAACATCTTTTAACGTCCCACGGATCGAACATATAAAAAAAAAGTGATTTAGTCTTAAAAATAATTAAGGTAAAAATCCTATATATATTATCTATAATTCTTTTTCCGGTCATGTTTGCTTTCTGAAATACTTAACACATTGATCGACTTAACCCCTCAAACATTTTTTTGGAAAGAAAATTTCCCTAACGAAGGTTTCCAGGCCAGTTTTCGCGCACCTACTAATCACTCGCTACGAACATGAAACTATGTCTAATGCCCTGGAGTTATTACAAGCGAACCTGCATGGCCACATGAGTTGAATAATGTTAGGATTTGAACATAGATCAATATGTTGTCTATGATATCTTTCACATCTTTATCAAGTTACTACAACCCTATTTTTTGTGGTAGCAAAAAATAAAATACTAAATATATTATTATAAGGCTAATGTAAAAGAAATAAATTTCATATTCAAAAACTAACATTAAATAGTAGCCCATAAAAATAGATTCTCCATGTCGCTTGTCGCTCAATTAATGCCAAAAAAGACCTGTTGATTATAACCAACTTGTGATTATTAAAGAATTTTATCATGTTATATTTGTAGGCAATGGATTCAATAACTTTAATAAGAGAAGGCTATTGAAATTAAAGATGCTTATAAAATAATTTTTTTGGGGCCCACTGCGCCGCACCGAAACCTATTTAAGTGCTTAAGGCAATAAGGCATCCAAAGTTCTAAAACCCTCCGGTCACCGCCTATCTTCTCTCCTGTCATCTCTTTCTTCAGTAACAATTCTAATTCCTTCGTTGATCGTCGGATATATTCTTGCTACAGCCTTCTGTCATCCCCGTAGTTTACTTGTGAGTACTTAACTTTTTTTTTTTTTTTTTTTTTTTTTAAATCGTCGTATCCTCTTTAACGTTATATCTTCTTGGCTTTTTATGATCATGCCATCATAATAATTAATTTAGATTTTAAACTAGATTCCCCTATAATTTTCGGTGATTCTTAACTTCTCTTTTAATAATTTGCACCTTGTAAAATAGAACACGAATGAATGTTTGTAGGTAGGCCGTTTGTTTTTGAAGTTTTAAAATTATTTGAACAAAATACATAAAAAATCTGCAATTTTATCTGTCATGGTCAAACAAAAATTATGTCTTCTACTAAGAATACACCTTGATAGCCAAATCTAGCTTGACCTTTGAGTAATCAGTCTAGATAAATACTTTTTTTGTATATAAAAATTTATGTTTTAAAATATTATATTGTAAAATTCTATAAAAATATAAATTTTTGTGTGTTGAGATGAAAAGATTGTCATGTAAGAATCACTTTCCCTACATAATACACAACCCTTTTATTATTTTTGCATATCCGCACAACCAAACCAAATATATGCCCATGATTAATTAACTTTCAACTGTATCCACTTTTCAATCTTTTGCAATTAAGGAGATAAGGTTCCTTATTTATTTCGTTAATATTAAATTGTAAATAAAACCAGTTTACAATATTTGGTATCATATCAGAGCAATTACCAAAGGCCTTCTAGCCCAGCATATCTGGTGTTGCCCTCCTGCTTAAGGTTGAGGGTTCAAGTCCCGTCGTGGACATAGATGAATTTAAGGTGTAGTTTAGGAGTATGTTAGATTTGCCGTTTCAATAAAAAAAAAAAAATATCAGAGCAATTATACAAAACCAGTTGGACATACAAAAGACGAAAGTTGATTGATTCTTAACAAAATTAAATAAGAAAAAAATTAGAATAAATTTATTAGTTTACCGTCATGGAGAGGTAAGTTTTATTGTAATCAATATAAAATATTAATTTAAGGGATAGAATCAAACAAAATCGGAACGTGATTAATTCTATTTGATTTCATTCAAGAAAATTTACATGATTTGACAAAAAAATATTCTTTGGTGAATACTGAAAACAGCAATACATATGCTTTGATATATCTTTTCTCCTACAAATGAAAACTTTAACTATTACTACTGAATTTTCATCTTCTTTGAAAAATGCAGGAGTACGTACACAATGTCTAATTGTCAAAGACTTGATTTTTGAAATATTCACAAGACTACCTCCTAAATCCCTAGTTCGGTTTAGATCACTTTCCAAGTCATTATATTCCATTATTTGTAGCCACGATTTTATCCACATGCACACTTCTCGATCCTCACAAAAACTCCTCATCAGACACCAAACTCATAAAGATTGTGGCCAAAACGACTTCTGTACATTGCATTCAGGAGACCAATTGCCATTATGTCCTGGACGTGGATACATTGGTACAACACAAGTCAAGTTTCCTTACAACAGAGATTCAAAGATTATCGGTTCATGTAATGGAATTCTCTTGCTCACTGATGATAAAAACCGTATTACTTTATGGAACCCCTCAATTAGACACACGTTAACCCTCCCTCATTATCCTCGGAGATGCTCATTGACCGGATTTGGTTTTGACCCAATCACTAATAATTACAAAATTGTGAGTATATGTCACCCCTACTCCTATGTTTATGCCATGAAGACACGCACATGGTGTCCGATTCTTTCCTGCCCCACGCCTGTATTTTTTGGGATGTCAAATGCATGTTTTGTCAATGGAGCATTGCATTGGGTAGTAAAAGAATTTAATAAATCAGAACAAACAGACCTTTCTTGTATAATGACATTCGATTTGAGCACTAATCTTTTTGGAATGATTGCGTTGCCTGAACCCAGTTGGGAAACTGCAAGACTAACTACAATCCAAGGTTCTCTAGCTGTGCTTTCTACTAGAGATGGTGAAACTTGGACGTGGGTGAGAAGAGATGCTTCTTGGTCTGTTGCTTTTAAAACGAAAATAGGACAAGATTTGGGAGGTATAAATAGAGTTTTGAAACTGAAAGCCAATGGTGATATGTTGTTCAGCACTTGGTGTACGGAGTTCCACTCCAAAGTTTCTATTGAAAAGACACACTTCCAAGTTTATACTCATGAGACAGGGGCACAATCAAAACTGGTGGACTTCGATGGCACTTTTGGTATAGTTGGAATGGAAATGTGTGTCCAAAGCATTCAGTTGTTAGGCATGAGGACTTCTTGTGAGGAAAAACAACCATCTTTTCTTGAAGGAAAAAAGACAGGCGAAATAATGGATGTAGTAATTAGATGATGAGATACATATATATTTATTCATTTGTTCCACTATTTTCATTTTAATTTTAAACCCTTGCTTCAACACGAGATATCGCATGTTTTTGCATATGCTTATGGTAAAATATTATGCGATTATTTAATTGATATCACATTGTTAATTTGCATATGTTTCTGCTGGTTTAAATTTACGAATTGGATTCAATGAATCTTCGAGGTCCATATGTCTTCATGCTTGTCAAACAAATTTTAGGAAGAAACTCCTTTTAAAGTTTATACCCTTGGCAGTGTCGACTTGTTTGAAACAGGTTTAGCACTACCTTTTGTTTGGATGGAAAGATGGACCTAAGTAGTTTGACTTGTTAGAAATAGTAGCTGCCAATATGGTGGATATAGATCCGGTAAGAAATTTTTTTTGGTAGGAAGGTAAGAAGTTTTTTTTCTACATATTTTTTTGGCGAACAAAATAAATGAATCACTAGATGATTCATTTGTAAGATGATTCACAAGAAAAAATTCTCAAAAAAACATATTTATGATTTATTTTTAAGTAAATTAAGAAAAAATTCATTTTTATGACTAACAACAAAATCATTGTATAAATGAATCATCGAGATGTTTTTTTTGAGAATTTTTTCTTGTGAATCATCTTACAAATGAATCATCTAATGATTCATTTTGTTTGTTCGCGAAAAAAATATGTAGAAAAAAACTTCTTACCTTCCTACCAAAAATTTCCTTCTTATTTGATCTTGACTCTATATATATATATATATATATATATATATATATATATATATATATATATAGATCCAATAAGAAATTTTTTTTGGTAGGAAGGTAAGAAGTTTTTTTTCTACATATTTTTTTGACGAACAAAATAAATGAATCACTAGATGATTCATTTGTAAGATGATTCACAAGAAAAAATTCTCAAAAAAACATCTTTATTATTCATTTTTAAGTAAATTAAGAAAAAATTCACTTTTATGACAATTTTAGTGAATAACAACAAAATCATTATATAAATGAATCATCGAAATGTTTTTTTGAGAATTTTTTCTTGTGAATCATCTTACAAATGAATCATTTAATGATTCATTTTGTTTGTTCGCGAAAAAAATATGTAGAAAAAAAACTTCTTACCTTCCTACCAAAAAAACTTGTTAGAAATAGTAGCTGCCAATATGGTTTTGTTCATAGTATTTTTTTTATGATCTCATATTTCAGCAAACGGGAAATGATTGTGTTTTAATTGTGTTTAACGCTCTAAAATCTGAAGCCGATATTGATTTAAATTCGTCTTCTCGAGATTTTACCTAAGTAGAGTAATGAAATTTATGCCTGTATTTATATATAGTTGAATCTAAAAAAGGAATTTGAAGCATATTAAAATCATTCATAGAGTTGTGATTTAAGATGAGTGTATGCAACAAATTCCAGATAAACACAGTATAAATGCAAAAAATGTTAAATGGGTTGTTATATACTTATACTAGGTGTTAGACCCGTATGTTATACGGGTTTAATAAAACAAAAAATTAAATATGAAAGTTTTAAAAAAAGTTATTTAAATTTAAAATTTTAGATTTGAAATTTAAAATTTGAATTTTAATTTAAAAGAAAACATATTAAATACTATATGAGTACTAATATTGTAAATTATTGGTTATTTTCAAAGACAATTATTAATTGAGGTGTAAATATGATGTGATAATTAAAAAAAAGATTAAAAAAAATGAGAAAATGACAAATGGAAAAAACATTTATTCAAAATTACCAAAAAATGACATGTGTCCAAGTTAATGAGAGAGTGACATGTGGCAAAATTATTTTCATTTATTAGGGAGGATTTGATGCAAGCATTTCACTCGCTCAAATTCAGGCGCTCTGCTTAGCATTTACTAATGTTTGGTGATAAACAGAGCTCTATTAGCCTAAGGTAAGCAGCTAAAATGGTTGATTGTGGAAGCAAAAGAAAATTTTCAGAAATGAGATTTCGAAATACAAAAATTAATCACTTTCTTAGGATTGATGAGTAGCAAATATAAGAATGCACTATGTATTGTTGTTAGAACTTCTTAAGAATATTGTCTATCAGAAATGGTGCTGCTTGGTTCGCATAATGTTGCTGAAGGAATTTGAATTGAAATTGGAAAATGAATCTGTTAGGAATTTGAATCCAATTCCATATGTTGTTTGGTTGGCAAGAAATGGAATTAGAATTAATTATAGATTATGTTTGGTTCACAGGAAATGGAATTGGAATTTATATAAAATGACATAATTACCCTTTTGCATGTTTTCCTTAATTTTACGTTGTTTTCTAACTTATATATAAAGATACATTATATAAATTATAAAAACAATAAAATTTCAGCATCGATGGTGGCGGCGATGGCGGTGGTGGCGGCGACAATGATGGTGGTGGGTGACGGCGATGGTAGCAACGATAGTGGTGGGTGGCGATGATGGTGGCGACGACGGTGGAGGTGATGGTGGTGGTGGCATTGATTGTGGTGACGGTGGTGGTGGTGATGGTAGTAGTGGTGGCTGTTGGTGGTGATGACGGTGGTGATGGTGTTAGTGATGGCAGTGACGACTGGTGACGGTGGTGGTAGTGTAACTGGTGGTGGTCGCGAGTGATGGTAGTGGCGACGTCGGTGGTGGTAGTGGTGGCAGTGAGAATAGTGGTGATGGTGGTGGGTGATGGTAGTTTGTGTTGGTAGTGTTGTTCGTGGTGGCGACGGTGGTGGTGGGTACGGTGGCAGTGGTGGTGGTCGTGATATTGATGGTGGCATAGGTAGTAGTGGTTGTGGTGGTGATGATGGTGGCGACGTTGTTAAAGGTGGTGGGTGATGGCGGTGTTGGTAGTGGTGGTGGAGGGTGATGGTAGTGGTAGTAGTGGCAGCGACAATGACGGTAATGGTGGGTGGCGGCAACGAAAGTGGTGGTGGTCGTTGGTACTGGCGGTGGTGGTGGTAATGGTGATGGAGGCGGCGGGGGTGGTGGTGGCGGCGGCGTCGGTGGTCGGTGGTAGGTGGCGGCAACGGTGGTGGTGGTGGCGGTGGCGGTGGTGGTGGCCGGTGATGGTAGTGGTGGTGGTGGTAATGATGATGGGTTTTCTGATATGTACAAGAGGTATTTTTTAAATAAGCTACTTTCCTTGATTAGAATGAATGTTTCCATCAAACCTTAGAAAGAATTTACTTTCGTTCATATGGTGGAAAATTTATTTTATTTAGGAATCATTTTCTCTCCCTCTAAATCCAACCAAACGCATTAATTCGAAGGAATTGAAATCATTTTCTCTCGAATTTAATTCTTTTCCTGTCAACCAAACGCACATTTATAACTATTTAAAAATATTTACAAAATAAATAGGTAGGAATCAGTGCTTTGGGCCTCCTAGATATGCAAATGTCGAGCTGGGCCCACAATTAAACCTAATAAGTGAATCTAGCGACCAACTGACAACCATTCCGTCGATCTTCCTCCGTTTTCCTGCTAAAGCCTTCTTCTTCTTCTTCTTCTTCAATCTTCGTCGTGATCAAGTCTAGGGTTTATATTCTCCTGTAAGTTATTTTCTTAATCGTATTCGATGGCAATTAGGTTTAACTAGGCGGGATATGTTTATAATATAATCTGTGATTTTCTTATAATCTGATATCTTGACCCTGTAAAGTAGAATAGGAAAGAAGGTATGCAGTTAGACCTACTAATATTTTAAATTCCAAAATAGTACAAAGCATATAAAAAAAATTGGTAAGCTTATCATGCATACACCAACTAATATTGAATTTTATCTTGAAGTTTATAATAAAGCTAGATCAATGTCAATTAATTTGAACAATTCACATGTACCTGATGATTGAATGCCTGATATTTTTTTTTGGTGTTTTATGTTAATATTTATTTCTATAGATGAAAAAGAAAAACAAATCAACCAGTTTTCAAGTATAGTTTTAAATGGTTTTATGCTAAAAAGTATTTACTTTTATCTTTTTCATAATCTTGGAAATACGCATGAGCACACAATGTCTAGTTATCTATGTGAAGAGTTGATTGTTGAAATCTTCACAAGATTACCATCAAAATCTCTCCTCCGATTTAGATCACTCTCCAAGTTGTTATATTGTATTATTTGTAGCCCAGATTTAATTTGCGTTCACACTTTTCGATCGCCACAAAAACTCCTCATCAGACATAGAAATCATTACAAAAAAGAATACACCGAAAACTTTTATACATTACATTCAGAAGACCAATTGGCATGGTGTACCAGTGGTGGATACCTTGGTATAACACCCACCAACTTTCCTTACAACAGATATTACTATATTGTTGGTTCATGTAATGGAATTCTCTGTCTGTGTGATTATTTAAAAGAAATCCACATTAGTTTATGGAATCCTTCAATTAGGCGGAAACTAAACCTGCCTGATTGTCCTCTGAGACGCTTTCATACTGGGTTTGGTTTTGATCCAATCACTGATGATTAAAAGATTGTGAGTATACCATTCGGCGGTCCTGCTCTTGGAATTGCACAAAGCTCATTTGTGTACGCCATGAAGACAGGTGCTAATTGGCGTAAGATTGCTTTCCCTGCTTCTTCATCTGCCTATAGAGTTTTACCATTATTGGGTGGTGGTAGAAGGTTATTTAACTGAGTCAAATGATGATGTACGTCCGATATTATATACTAACATTCGATTTGATTACTGATGTTTTTGGCGTGATATCATTGCCAGAACCAAGTTGGGAAACAAGACGAGTAACAAACATCCAAGGTTCTCTAGCTGTGATTTCTACAAAAGGTGATAAAAGTTGGATTTGGATTAGGCGAGATGCTTCTTGGTCTGTGGTTTATAAATTGGAAAAAAATAAAGTTGGGGAAGGTGTAATGGAAGTTTTGCAACTGAACAACAATTGTGATTTGTTGCTACGTACTTACTCTCACGGGCTTCAAGTTTATAATCCCAAGACAGGGGCGGGATCAAGAAGACCAGGTGACCTTAAAGCTGCTTCTTACATAGCTGACATAGTTTTGTGTGTCGAAAGCCTTCAGTTGCTAGAAAGGGCGATTCCTGATTTAAGTTGATGACTTTTACATGATTAGTATTGGATTTATATTTTCCATTTACATGAACCAAGGTTTGCACTGTAATGTATTCTAGTGAGTCTAGACGGACTTCACCATTTACATGAACTATAGTGTAGAACATCAGGGGGTGTTCGGATTGCTGTGAGTCTTAAGCTATTTAATAACTGGTTTTGAGTGTTTTATTTGGATTACTTAGGCTCAAAATTAGAGGATTCTGAGCAAGATGATCAATATAAAATATCTACCTATCCCTAACTTTAATCAACTGATTTTAGGCAATAATCATTTTGGAAATGCACATTCCTACATCCATATATGTATTTATTCTTGTCGCACAATATTAAGGAATGAAATTATTTTTAAGTTCATGCCCTTTGTACCTCACTCTCTCAACTTCGATGGAACAGGTTTGGCACTACCTTTTATTCGGATGGAAAGATGGGCTTAAATATTAATTTGGAGTTGTTAGAAATAGTTGTTATGGCGGTTTTGTTAATACTATTTTTTTATCTCATATTTCTGCAAAGGGGGGATGATGGCTCGGTATTGACTTGCATTGCTTCGTTGAACCTACTATTGCATTTAACATTCTAAAATCCTAAGCCAATGTTGATTCAAATTCATTATATCTTGATCTTACCTAAGTTGAGTAAATAAATTTGTGTATATTTATATAGAGTACAATATAAGAGAGTAATTCGAAGCATGTTAAAATCATTGAGTTATGATTTAACATGAGTGTATGCAACTGATACAAGACTGGTGGGAGTTAATAGACGAATCCTTTTGAATATACTAAAATCAAATGCAGGTAATGAAATAACAAATGCCATTTTCTCTGATACTTTGATGACCATCAAACATGCACCTAATCATGAGAGCTTAAGAGAATTGATGTTGAAATCAAATGATGCATGCATGTGACAGTCGCTTGTTAATACTTTTGGGATATCATAGTGAATGCAACTTTTTATATTTTTTTTTAGTAAATCGTTAATTTTCTATCCATTGGTAATTAGTAAACTACTTTTGGTACATGTTTATTTATTTATATTCAATACACGAGATATTAAATATATGATTAATAATCAAAATAGTTTGAATGAACTTTAATTTAAATCAAAAAGAATACCCATAACATTTCTATTACAAAAAATCAGAATTTCATAAAATAAAATCAACAAAATTGGGATAGTGGGTATGTTATCTGGTCATTTGTGAATAATAATTATATTTGTATTATATTTATGGAACTAAACATTGATTGATAACATTTATTATATAGTTGGACATTTGTTATTTACATTATTTAAAAAAATGATAAAATGGTCATTACTCACAATGAAATAGTTCGATTCTTTGCTCAATAAAAGAGGAACTAGCTTCATGTATACATCACTTTATCGTGACCCTTCATCCAACCACTTGAACCGAACCACTCATTTTGGTTAAGTTTCGTCTACCGGAGAAGAAGCCCTCTTGATCACCCCTCGTTAGAAACATGTGATCAACCGATTTAAATAGATTGAAAAAAATCTAATCAACAAGTTGTCTCCCTTCCTAAATCTAATTTTCCAATATATTTAATTTCATCATCCTATTAATATCGAATTTTTTCATCTCCATGGAAAAATGCATAATTATACAATGTCGGGACTATCTATGTGACGATTTGATTGTTTAAATCATCACCAAACTACCGTCAAATCCTTCATATCATTTATGATATGATTAATCCAGTCTTAAATTTATAACATATTTCATTAGAACTGGGGACTATTACCCAACTTGGCAAGTTTACCCAATCACATACTAGTATAGCATTGGTAAAAGCAGGCGTTGAACTCAAGGGGAACATGAGTTAATTAATATCAAAGTATTCAATTGTCACTTAATCTAAATACACATAAAAGAAGATAGGGGGATTTGATCATAAACCACATAACTCAATTTAGACACAAAACAAACTAAGTAAAACTGATGTGAAACAGATCATAAAGGTGGTCTTGCCTAGATATAATTATATCCTTTAACTATAGTTGATTTCTATTAAATACAAAAGATATTCTTCTGTTGTTTACTGATTCCTAAGCTTATTAGTTCCCTTGGACCATTCACTAATCCTAATGTTACTAGTTATTCCAATTATAATGGTCATGAAATTAGTATTCCCTACTATGAGTCTCTAGTTTATATCATGCAAGATATAATCGAATAATTGATATTCAATGGTCATGTCAATCAATTGGTACACATAATGATCATCTAATGCAAGACTTACTGTAACATTCAGTTTCAAAATGTTTCTTATATCAGGATTGTGGACCATAATTCGATCATGAGAAGGCCTTGGGCCTCAAGGAAATAAGGTTTAGACCTTGTTGAATGTTAATAATAGTGGTTATGTGATTTAAGCCCTTGATTTGTGTTTTGGAGCCAAGGATAAAATGGGAAAAGTGATGCTTTTGATTTTTTTGCATGAATTAATGATCTTAGTTCGGTATGTTTTAAGTCAAAAGTTATTATATAGGGTTGTGGGGCTCGTCAATACCTTTCCGTGTATATAACGATCGCCGAAAATGGCTTTGAAACGAAGAAGTTATGGTTGGTTGAAGTTAGGTGGATTTGGGTGAAAATCGTTGCCATGACACGACGAAGCATTGTCACGGCACGACGAAGCGTTGCCATGGCACGAAAATCTGTCAGACCCAAGCCCATGATTTTTAGGTTTTTCAACGTATTTAAGTATAAGGTTCTGAATTTTTGACCATTTTTCCAGCCTCCATCACATCTAGAACCCCTTGGGAGAAACCCTAGCCTCAATCTTCAAGATTTAAGCTTGTCATGTATCCTCTCTCATTTTTTGGATGATTTTGGTGGTGTTTTGATGAAACATGAAGATCAAGAAGGTTCTTATGGGTGCACAGAATGTTGTTTCAAGTTTGGATCCATCAAAGGCACTAACACTTTTGGACTATTGTAAGCATAAAGTTCCAATGTTGCTATCTATTTCTTTAGATCTTTTCATTTGGGGTTTTTGGCACTTTTGGTCCATTTTGTGGGTGATCTTGGAGTTGAGTGTATTCCAACATCATTTGTTTAGTTTGGAATTCTTCTTGGACCTCATGGACTAAGAAATTTGTGATTTTTTGTCTTCCCTTATAACCATGCAAGTTATCTTGGTCCTTTAGGTCATTTTAGTGTACTAAAGTTTAGATCTTGAAAGCTTGAGACATTATTATGGATAAAGTTGGAAAGTTTATGCATCCAAACATCATGTTGATCTAGATATGAAGGTTGGAGATTTGGACTTAATGGATAAAGTTGAGAAAGATGCATTTTTGGCCCTTTGAGACTTAAGGACTAGATCTTGTTTGTTTGGACAATCCTAATGAATAAAGTTGGAAACTTTATTCATTATGAAGCTATTAGGAACCGGATCTGATGTTATGAGTTTTGGTATTTAAGGATTAAGCTCTTAAAGAAGGGAAAAGCTTTCCTTCCTGATAGCCACGACGTGGCCAAGGAAGGACCACGATATGGTGATGAGATTATCGCGTCTATTTTGTTTGGACGTGACTATGACATAGCAAAGGAATTTCCACGGCGTGGGAGTCATCTGAGTTAGCTTGACCGCTGAGTTTTGACCAATTTGGCTTTTTGTCAAACTTGGGTAGAATTGAGTATTTAAATAAGGATTAGTTTTGGTTTGGTTTAAGGAAGCATGGTTTGGCTAATTTGCTGCTGAGGTAGCTGGTGAGCTTCTGTTGAGTAGTTATGGTGAGTCTTCTAATTATACTTGTGGGTCGAAGGCACCAATACCGATCTACTGGATTATGTTATGTGGGATGCTAGTTTTCTTTTTGATACTTGCATGGATGACCCCGCGGGTAACATGTGACATTTTTATACAAGACATGGGGTAGCCATGGAACTTGTGTGTAACACCTTGGGGTATCCAAGGCACTACAACAGAATACCATGCGGGTTAACATAGAATTCCATAAATAAGGCAAGTATGTAGTCCGTTAGGTTAGGTTACGAGTCAAGGATTATGCAAGGGATAATTTCAGTGGTGAGTTGTAATCAGGGAAACAAGGGTTGAAGGTTCAGGGTTATCCCGATTGAGGACAGGAAGCAGCGAAAGTGGCATATGACAGATTCGTGACTAGGTTCAAGTTGAGGGTGGTGTTAGAACTGTAACACCCGATTCAAGGTATTTTTCATTTTGACCATTGGTGTGTAGTTAGTTTTGCAAATTTTGTCCAAGGGGCATTTTTGTAACTTTTGGGAGGGGGGAGTGTGATGGGTTTTGAGCACTACAACATTCCTATGGTGTACATGCAACCCTAATGCTTTGGATCTAGGCTTTTCTCAAGTTATACATGTAAATTCATAACCAAAGCATGAACCCTAAGTCTAGCATACACAATTTCGAAATTCATATGTAAACAAGGGTTTTATCATTACCTCACTTGTTATATTGCAATAACAAGAACAATGCTTGACCTTTGAAAGCTTAGTGCCCCAATTGTTGCACCTCTAATGGAGTTACAAAGACCCAATGCAAAGGATGAAGAAAGAGAGGCAAGATTTTCAACCAGTATCTCTTAGAAAACCATTAGGTCGAAATCCTTAGGCAAGAGGGTTATATATAGTTGGGGATATTAGGGTTTTCAGATGGAAACCCTAATTTCCTTACTTAGGCCTTAAGTAATCCATGGATCCCCATTTGACAGGCCTTGGACGAAAACTGTATGGGCTTCTCATAGATTTTCGTCCACCTCTTATCAATAAGGTCCATTAGCCCAAACTACAACTATTACTGATTTACATAATCAGTCCCTCCATTATTAATCAGTTCCTTTAAACCCAAAATTAATACTTGATTAATTTCTGACTAATTACTAATTACTAATATGATTTCCAAATAATATATTAATCATATAATATATTTATAAAATCATTTTGAGTACAAATTTAATATTCATATAATAAATCCTAGTCTCTCTCCTCTTGTCACCCTATCAAGTTGTATGAGTGAAGGAAACCCAAAAGGACCATGCTCATATACCAAAAATAGTTATGGGCTTAGACACCTAATCCAGCAGTCTCCCACTTGGATAAGTCTAATAAATATTATTGCAAGTACGACTTCAGAATCTGATTAGCAATCGTAGCTTTCAAAAGCCGCTGTCGAACTCTGCTCTTATCAGTAACGCGTCCTTTAGATAAGGGATCATATATTCCTCCATTCTACAAGATATCGTATGGACTGAGACATGGATTATAATCATTCTCTCTGTCCATGTGTTGTTTCCTGATTTCCGATTCATGACGAATGACATCAGACTACAATTGAACACATCAACTTAGTCCAGGCTTGGCCAAGCACTTAGGTTTGTCATCACTAAATCATCGAGAGGCCCACATATATTACTTTTATCC